CTTTGCTAGCCTTGTGGTGGGAGGGGACTTACTAGGCAAGACGGTACGTGTGCAGCAAACAGCGTTTCTTCTTTTTAACATTCCTAAATGAAGACTGACCTTTATGCAGCCGTTCAGCACTGAGCATCTCCCCAAACCCCTCCTTTGTCAGGAAAAGGCTGCTTTACGGCTTTCAAACTTGAGCCCAGGGTAGAACATCCAGGTGCCTGGAGATGTCTGCTAATGCTCCAGGACGTGTCTGGGATCACTCAGGGTTGTTTGTCCTCTCCATGAGAGGATGGTCTTCAGCGAGGATGGGTGCTGTAGGATGTGTCACCTCCTGGGGAGGATGCCCCATTTTGCTGTTGGACTGCAGGGCCTGATCCACCATCTCTGTGCATCCCGCCATGTGCGTGTCCAGAGGGGCTGACCATGCTGAAGGGGCTGTTCACCACCCGGTGCAGGCAGGAGATAGGGCTCGGGGGCAAGGTGGGGGGAGGCCAAGCCATCTGACCGTCCTTTCCTGCACCCAGGGGACATGCTGCGCCTACGCACGGTGCTGGAGGCCATCCAGAAGAACATCCACTCCTCCTCCTTGATCTTCAAGCTGGCCCAAGATGCGTTCAAGATTGCCACGCCGGCCGACAGCAACTCGGACACAACGCTGCTCAACGTGGCGCTGGAGCTGGGGCTCCAGGTACAAGATGGCATGGGGGATGTCAGCAGCCCTTCTGCCCCTCATGCTGCAGCATGGCGGTCTTCCACCAAGCAGATGGTCCCCCATGGAAGGAGTAAATTCATCCCTGCATGGCCTGAGCCGGGGAGCTCAGCCCTGGGAGGCCCCTGACCGGGGAGCGGGTAGCCAGCTGGGCCAGGGGGATTTTTGGGGAGCGCCATGATGTTGGGTGGCTTTGGTGGAGCCCCATGGGCTGGGCCGGACACCCCGGGTTTGCCTTGCAGGTGATGCGCATGACCCTGTCCACCCTGAACTGGCGGCGGCGGGAGATGGTGAGGTGGCTGGTGACATGCGCTACCGAAGTGGGTGAGTGCCTTGCCGTGCCGGGCAGAACCGGCCCGCGTCTGGTGGGAGTGGGGTGGGCACGGACGTCCCGGGGTCATTCATAGCCCTGGGTGTCTGAGCTCTCCTGAGTCTCCCATTTCTTCCTGGGTAACTGGATGCACCCCAGGGTGCCAGCTGGCAGGGCTTGGGGCCACAATGGTGGCCGGGTTCAGGACACCCAGGCCAAGCCAGTGGTGTTCGCTGTGCCCTGCAGCACGGCCAAACAGGGTAGCCTCTGCCTGTCCCCCTCCGCCCTGTCCCTGTTGGAGCAAAGGCAGTGGCTCAGCACTGCTGCGGGCTGGCTTTGCCCTTGCTCTGGGCACTGGGGGACTCGGAGGAGCCCCATGATCCGAGCTGTGCTCCAGGGATGTGCCGTGATCCCAGTGTTTTCTTGCAGGGGTGAGGGCCCTGGTGAGCATCCTGCAGAGCTGGTACTCGCTGTTCACCCCCACGGAGGCCACCAGCATCATGGCAGCCACGGTGATGTCCCACAACACCATCCTGCGCCTGAGCCTGGACTACCCGCAGCGGGAAGAGCTGGCCAGCTGTGCCCGCACCCTGGCTCTGCAGTGCGCCATGAAGGACCCACAGAACTGCGCCCTGTCCGCCCTGACCCTCTGTGAGAAGGACCACATCGCCTTCGAGACCGCCTACCAGATCGTCATCGACGCCGCCTCCACCGGCATGACCTACACCCAGCTCTTCACCATCGCCCGCTACATGGAGCACCGGGGCTACCCGCTCCGGGCGTTCAAACTGGCCTCGCTGGCCATGACGCATCTCAACCTGGCCTACAATCAGGACACGCATCCAGCCATCAACGATGTGCTCTGGGCCTGCGCCTTGAGCCACTCTTTGGGCAAAAACGAGCTGGCGGCCATCATCCCACTGGTGGTGAAGAGCGTGCACTGTGCCACGGTGCTCTCGGACATCCTTCGCCGCTGCACCATGACGGCCCCAGGGCTGGCCGGCATCCCCGGCCGCAGGAACTCGGGGAAGCTGATGTCCACCGACAAAGCCCCCCTGCGACAGCTGCTGGATGCGACGATAAGCGCCTACATCAACACCACCCACTCCCGGCTCACCCACATCAGCCCGCGGCACTACGGGGAGTTCATCGAGTTCCTCAGCAAGGCCAGGGAGACCTTCCTCCTGGCGCAGGACGGGCACATACAGTTTGCCCAGTTCATTGACAATCTCAAACAAATCTACAAAGGCAAGAAAAAACTGATGCTGCTGGTGCGGGAACGGTTTGGGTGAGCCCCGGCCCCCGCCACGCTCACTGGCAGGGTCCGGCTGCAGCACGGGGACTCGGGAGAGAAGAAGGAAGGAAAACAGAGATCACCTTCCCCCCCATCGGCAGAGGCTGCTCTGTTCTGGTCTTCTGTTTCTTTTTTTTGTTTTCTTTCTTTTTTTGTTTTTTATTTTTTTCTTTCTTGGATTTAACCATTTCACACGCTGAGAGGATCCAGAGATTCCTTGGGCACAAACCAAAAGGCAACCACGGGGAAAAAGGATGGTTCGCTCAGCCCCCTGCCCTCCCTTGCCAATACCAAAAGCTAACCTGGAAATCTAATACCTCTTTCCTGAAGGAAGTGGTCGCTGGAGGGATCCGAAGGTTGCAAAGTGCAAAAATCTTTAAAATTACGTGGGGAATTAAAAGAAAAAAAGAGGGGAAAAAAAAAAAGAAAAAAGAAAAAAAAAGTGCGAGTGAGCAAAGAAACCCGCAACACTAGAACCTCATGCGTCACCAAAAGCGATGGCTTTGCAGAGCGCTTCTCCCGCCCGCCCGAGACATGCAAACTCCTCTATTTGTGAAGATACTTCAATAAAAACAAGTTAAAGTAACTGTTCTCAGGGATTGCTTACTAAAAGTAACACAAAAAAAAAAAGCATTTATGATACTGTAAATACTATAGTATATGTGTCAATTATTAAATTGTAAAGTTATAATTATTTATAATTCTGTCTTTTATTTGGGGGATACTTGAAATTGTCGTGGGCTGGGGCGATTATTTTTATTATTGCTATTATTATTATTATTATTATAACTATTATTTAAAAAAACCACACAAAACAAAACCACAGACAAAAAGAGGAGGAGGCACGCAAACATTTCTCAGGTTCCCACAGCATCGTCGGCAGCGAGAAGGGTGTGGGGGGAGGCGAACGTCCACTCGACTCGCAGCCCTGGGACGGACGGACGGACGGAAGAAGGAGCGGCAGCCCAGCGCTTGAGGACAGCGAAGGAAGGGACTCGGGGTGACACTCGCTCGGACGCACATGGATGCTGGCGATGGAGGACATGAGCCCATCGCCTCGTACGGAGCCGTCTCCCAGCGGGCGCAGGGGTGCGAGGTGCCTGGGCGGGCGTGCGGGCACCAGGGCTCCCCGGCTCCTGGGGAGGGAGGGGGGACAGGCGCACCCGTGCCGCCTCCCCGCACCATTCTGCTTCCTGGCTCCGTGGTGCAACCAACGCTCAGCCCTTCCCGGCTTCACCCCGCACCGGGGGCAGACTCTCCAGCCCCGGGCCGGCGGCTCTTCGGTTTTGCTTCATTTCTTTGCCAGCGGGTCGGGAGGGCTGGGGGGGCCAGGGCCGGTCTGGACGGTGACTTGTAGTTAGAGAACACGGGCTAGTTATCTGCTGTCTGGTTTGACTTTTAATTTTTTGGCAAGTGACTTGTGTCCGCACTCCGGCCAGGAAACTAATTGTACTCGGTCTCTGTTGCCACTGAAATAGCGGTCTTCAACCAGTCTGTTTCTTTTTTTTTTTTCTTCCCCCTTCCTTTTTTGTTTTGTTGGTTTTTTTTTTTTGTGCGTGCGTGCGTGTATGTGTGTGTGCGACCTCTTCATCTGATGTTTAATAATAAAAGGGATGAACATTACCACCTGTATCTCTACTGCCTTTCTCTGAAGTCGGAGGGGTCACTACGCTTGCTGGGCAGTCTGGTGGTGTGGGCGATGCAAGCAGGGCAGAGCCCCGGGGAGGAGGTGGCATCGCAGCCCCCTACGGTACCCAGCTCCTGTGCCCCAAGGAGGGGGACAGAGCAGTGGCAAGGTGCCCTGGCTGCTTCAGCGTGCAATTCCCTGCCATGCTCAGCGTCAGCAGGTCCCTGCCCACCCTGGTGGCACTGCCCCACCTGTGCCAGCTAGAGCACTGTTGGTGCCCATGTCTTGATCCATCCTGCAGCCAGCCTGGACCGCGGTGAGTGTGCTGCAGTGTGGGATGGGGTGGCATGGTGTCATAACCCAGGGTTCCTGGGTACTGCAGCACCCTGGGCTGCTTTCTGCAGGGTTTGCTGAGCCTGAGGCAGACTTGGCCCCGAGGATCAGAAGAGATGGGGAGGTGTGCGTGAGAGAGAGATCTCCAGAACCAGTGGGATGGTCCCAAAGAGGCTCTGGGAGCTGGAGGAGGGCAATGGCAGTGCTAGGGCCATGGTGTCTCTGCTGCCACCCCAGCTA